TTAGGTTTTGGTTAATTAAAAGTTATTTTAGTTACTCTAATTGATTTTCAGTTGCTAAACATTTATTTTTTGTTGTTAAAAATCAATTTTAGTTACTGGAAATTATTTTTAGCCACTAACAGTTATTTTTAGTTACTAAAAGTCATTTTTAGTTACTAAAAGTTATATTTACTTACTGAAAGTCATTTTTAGTTAGGTACTAAAAGACATTTTTAGTTACTAAAAGTTACTTTCAGCTACTAAAATTTAATTGTAGTTACTAAAAGTCAATTTTAGCTGCTAAATTTTATTTTTAGGTACTAAAACTAAAATCTTATTCTAAATATTATTTTTAATTACTAAAAGTCAATTTTAGCTACTATAATTTACTTTTAGTTAATAAAAGTCATATTTAGTTATTAGAAGTTATATTTAGTTACTAAAAGTCATTTTTGGTTATTTAAAGACATTTTTAGTTACTAAAAGTCATTTTTAGTTATTAAAAGACATTTTTAGTTACTAAAATTTACTTTTAGTTACTAAAAGTCATTTTTAGTTACTAGAAGTTACATGTACTTACTAAAAGTCATTTTTAGTTACTAAAAGATTTTTTAGTTACTAAAAGACACTTTAAGCTACTAGAATTTATTTCTAGTTACTAAAAGTCAATTTTAACTAGTAAATGTTATTTTCAGAAACTAAAAGTCAAATTTTATTCTAAACATTATTTTTAGTTACTAAAAGTCATTTTAAGCTACTAGAAGTTAATTCTGTTACCAAAAGTCAATTTTGCCTTCTAAATTTTATTTTTAGGTACTAAAACTAAAATTTTATTTTAGTTATTTTATTTTAGTAAATAAAATAAAAAGTAAAAGTAAATTTTAACTACTAGATTTTATTTTTATTTACTAAAAGTCATATTTAGCTACTATAAGTACTTTTTAGTTACTAAATGTCACTTTTAACTACTAAAAATTATTTTTAGTTACTAATAGTCACATATAGGTATTAAAAGTTATTTTTAATGACAAAATGTCATATTTATCTACTGTCTGAATCCTAATTAGTTAAAAATAACTAATTACTAGTAAAAATCGTGTTCGACATATTCTGCTTATTAGCAATTAGCAAAAAAAAAAATATTGGTAGTAGAAAATTACCAATTATTAGTTGCTAAAAATTACTTCTAATTACCAAAAATCATTGGTAAATTAAAACTAAAATTGGTAATTAAAAATTTGTAATTAAAAATAGTAATTAAAAATAGTAACCAATAAAAGTAACTGAAAATAGCAACTAGAAATAATAACTAAAATTAGTAACTAAAACTGGTGATTAAAAATAGTAATCAATAATAGTAACTAGAAATAGTAACAAAATACAGAAACTAACACAAAACAACTAAAAACTAACTTCCAAAAATTGTTTTTTAGTAAAAAAAAAAAACTTTCCTTTAAGTAAAAAAAAGCTTTCCTTTTATTCGAAACTAAAAAAGAAATTAATTATATTCTTTGAAATAGGGATGAATTTACATTGCAACAATATTAGACAATCAGGGAGTATTTGAAATTCACTGACATAGGGACATTACAAGATTGGACAGTTTGTTGAATGTGAGACAGGTTAGGCAGGTTAGGGACAAAAGTCATTAGCCTATGAACTTGTGGCTATTACGATCCGACTATATTGCTTCCTAGTTGCCTCAGGACTAAAAGGGGAAATCCCTTATTCAAAGCCTCAAAATCATCTGCGAACAGGGTCGTCAAAATCATCGTAACATTTTTTTTTTAATTTTAATTAAATCATCAAATTGAAAATTAAAATTTATTTATTTATTCTATCAAATAGTAAAATTTCTACTAATTAAATTGACTATGTTAAATTATCATATTGAGTTATGTCAAAAAAACTAAATTTTTTGCTAAATCAATTGAGAGATTTATTTAATTAAAAAATAACTAAAATATTATTATATTATTAACTAAAATATTTAACTATTTTTAACAACTAAAGTCATTTTTTAGTTATAAATAATTTGGGAATTATAATTTATATTTAGTGACTAAAAATAATTTTTAGTAAATAATTATAGTCAATGAAATGAAGTTTAGGATAAAATATCTTTTGTTAATGATAATTACTTTTTGTCATTACTTATAAAATTTGAATTCGAATTTGAAAAACGAAAACTTATATAGTAACAAAATTCTTATTTTTAAACTAAAACTTAATTTCATAAAAAAAAATTATTTTTATTAATTTGAAAAATTGTTAACAGTTATTAAAATAATTTTTCATTTATATTTTTAAATATATAATTAAAAAGTTTTTCCTAAACATTTTATTCTACATATATATGTGTCAAACTATATTAGTTTATGAAAATTTTTCGTTTTAAGTTCAATTTATCTTCGTTGAATTTTTTTTCATACATTTTTTTCACTATATTTATCAGGAAGTACTCGAGGCTAATTTGTATAATATGTACAATCTCGTTACTTTATCAGGGGGTGCCAATTGCCTTCTTCCAGGTCAGTTGGTATCGAGTCAAGTCTGATAAAATAATTGCTTCCTCAACTTTTCAATTGAATATGATTTAACAGTGACACTTTAAAAAAATTGATTTTAACCACAAAAATAGTATACATAAAAAATACTAACAAAAATTAAAAATGATAAAATATTTACATTTATTTAAAAAAGTAATTATTTAAAAAATAATTATTTAAAAAAAATTATTAAAAAAAATTATTTAAAAAAAATTATTTAAAAAATAGATATTTAAAAAATAACAATTTTTTAAATTTGAAAAAAAATATTTTCCAACTTGAACAAAATACAAATGAATTATTATAGTCTTTTTTCATTAAAAAAAAGTGACAAAAGTCAAAGAAAATTGAATAATATTTCAACTAGAAGCGCGTTACTCGTGAAATATAAAAATCTTTTGAAAGGATTTCTAAAAAATAAAAAAGAAGGAAGAAAAAAATAAAACTTTGCATAATTTGAAATTCTCAACTGTTTTTATAGATCGTATAATTTTTATGACTTCATCTTCAGTGCGAGGAGAGAGACAAGTAAATCCTCAAAGTAAATGAAAAAGATTACCAAGTTCGTAAAACTTTCAAAGTCCAGAGTTTATAAAATTTCTTAACCTCGAGTTGAATCTTGAGCTTAAGACATATAATGGTGTATTTATTAAAAACTGAAAGTGCTATTTTATCTTCGCATTATTATTATTATTAATAATTATATTTACATGCTTTGAATTTTTTTGAAATTTTATGTCTATAATAGAATACGAAATCATAAAATAAAAGTAGTTTTGATATTAATAACAATATGAAGAATTTTAGAGTTTGCAAATTTTAAATTCGGCTTAAATTTTATTTTTTACTTTATTACTGAATTTATTATTTTGAATTTTTCAAATTTGACTACTGGTGGTAAAAATAAAAAAATACATCTAAAATAATCCCCAAATGGTTTTTCTTTAAATTAACGAAAATGTCGCCAATGGCGGTAAAATTTAAAATATTCAAAATCTAAAATTGTCCCAAGATGGCTTTTTTAGAATTAACAAAAGTGGCGCCAATGGCGGGAAAATTTAAAACATACAAAATCTAAAATTGTCTCCAAATGTTTTTTTACAATTAAAACGAAAGTGGTGCTAATGGCGGTAAAATTCCAAATACAAAACAAAAAGAATTCATAAAAATTTGCTAAAAAAAGAAGTTTTGAAAACAAGAATTTCAAAGTAAAGTAAAGAATTTAAAGAAATCGATTAATTTAAGAGTTTAACTTTTAGTGTGGTTAGCCTGTTACCTTGAGACTGTTCTCACTAGTTCAGCTTCTCGGTGTGCTTGAGCTCCAGGGGAGTTAAAGGATCTCAAGAGTCTTTAAGGCCAGAAACGAGTTAATCGCCAAGCGGATACACGCTGAAAGCGTTAAAGCTCTCCCTGGAGGATGCATTTTACCGTAGCTTTTTTTTCCACCCCCCCCTCCTCACTCTCTTTTTACTTCCCCCACCCCTCACCCATCACTCGATGATATTTTACCCACCACGGTTTCTTGTGATCCTCTCAGTTTTCATCGTCTTATAGTTCCGTTGTAAAACAAAACACTTTTAAAATGAAAACTTTCCTTAAGAGCCCATATCAAAAAAAGGAATTTTAATTTTATTTTCACAGAATATTTTAAAATATTAGTTTATTTTCTCCTGCAAAGAAAATTTGCCAAATAAATTCACATGTAGTTTGAAAGAGTGAAAATTAATTTAAAATATTTCTTTCTAAAAGAAATCTTGAAATTAAGTAAATAATTTTTATAATTAAAAAAATTTTTTTTTCTTGTTTTAAGAGTAGAAAATTTAGAAAATTAAATTTTCTACTCTTAAAACTAAAAGGAGATAGATTTTTGTAAATAGGAATTTAAATTTTGGCGCCATTCGCCTTCTTGAGGGGAAGCCCCGTTTTGGCGCGCCTCTGGAGGGACGCTTTGGAACCTTGAGTCTCAAGTCATGGAATAATGACTAAACGTCAAATAGTTTTAAAAATAGAAAAGGGAGTTCTCAATTTTCAAGAATAGAAGAAAAAAAATTGAGAATATTTTTGAAAAAAGATTTTTATTTCTCGTCCGACTGTGTGGAAACATGTAAAGCCACTTTAGAAGGTGGCAAATCCTAGTAAACCTCCAATCTCTCGAATGAAGTATATAATACGATATAGTGTATACAACGGTAAGCTAAGAGTATACACAACGCTAAGGAGCTTTTCTTTATTCCTTATATGGTTTGTTGGCAAGTACCATAGAGATACCATCGAGACACCATAATACTACGCGTACACATTGGGACCTGTTTCCTTCGTAACGTAGAGAGGCAACATAACATTCCCACACGAACAATAGAACACACACTCACACACACACATACACACTACAAGCTTAACGATAGTAATTTATATCTCTAGCACACGTGTCGATGTTTTTATTTTCTTCTAACGAGCCCTTCGTATCCACAGATGTTGGATGTCAAAGATGGAGGAGGAGGACGTGGGGTCTTCGTCTGCAGCAGTCCTGGTCCCGATCCTTACTCTTCTCAGGACCTTTATAATCCCGTCTACGAGGAACTAAGCAATGGTGAGTCGTTACATTCTTTTTAGAAATTCAATTTTTTTTTAATTAAAGTTCTATTTTGAATTCTTCTTTTTCTTCCTTTTATTAACCTCTAAATATTTTCGTGGCGAAAAGTTTAAATAAAAAACTTAAGAGTAGAAATTGAAATTAAATATATAAAAAAAATGTTTTTTTAACAAAATGAATTATTAATTCCACTTGAAAAGAAATATTGGCTCAAGAGGAATTTTTAGATTAAGCGAAAGTGGCGCCATTGGCGGGAAAATTTAAAATATACGAAATCTAAAATTGTCCCTAGATGGTTTTTCTTAGAATTAACAAAAGTGGCGCCAATGGTGGTAAAATTTGAAATATACAAAATCTATAATTGTCCCCAGATGGTTCTTTTTAGAATTAAAACGAATTATACTAACTTGCTTTTTTCAAGAAAAAATTTGTAGTACAACCACGTTTTGAAAAAAGGAACCGTGAAAAAAAATTTCTATATTAGTAAACTTAAGGCGCTAGCACAGCTCCTACTGCCTGCCTGCAGGTTGACATGGTAACACATAGGAGTAAGAGAGTAAGAAAATTCAAATTAAATGTTTTTTCTCTCTCACTCGTATGGCGCCTGCCTGCGCAGGCAGGCAGGCAGTGAGGTGAGAGTGTACCTTTAGCGTCACTGGCAGCAAAATTAAAAATATAAAAGTTTGAAAAAATAAAAAGGGGAGAAATTTTTAGAATTAACGTAACTGTTACCACCGGCAGTAAAATTTAAAATGCAAAGCGTCGGTTCCTAATAAGGTTCTAGCAAATTTTTAGAATGAGCAAAAGTGGCGCTAATGGCGGGAAAATTAAAACCACAATGACGTTAATTAATTAATTGTTCAAGAAATATTTTTTAGACTATAAACCAAAGTGTCGCCACTGGCGGGAAAATTCAAAATTTCAATTACACTTTCAAAAATAGGTGAAAAATGAATTTATAGAATAAACGAAAATCCTACTTTCGCATAGAAAAATTTAAAATGCGAAAGGACACTTTCAATTTAGTCCAGAGAAAATATTCTAAATGAACAAAAGTTTCGCCAACTGGCGTCAAAATTTTAAATACAAAACTGCATTTCCAAGTGAAGTCCGAAAAGTAATTTTTAGAATTAGTGAAAGTGGCGCCACTGTCGGGAAAATTCAAAATTTTAACTGCACTTCCAAAAATAGTCCGAAAAGTAATTTTCAAAATTAGCAAAAGTAGCGCCTCTGGCGGGAAAATTCAAAATTTTAACTACACTTCCAAAAAAAAGGTTGGAAAAGTAATTTTTAGAATTAGCGAAAGTGACTCCACTGGCGGGAAAATTTAATCCTCAATGTAACGCTTCTAAAATTTCACCATTTTTCGAATTTTATTATTAATTATATTCATAATTTTACTCACAACTAATTAATTATATTCACTCAGGTAGAAATTATTCATCAAAATAATGAATTCGTATCTCTTACTCTAATAATTATGTATTTAATTTAAATGAAAGTTGAACATTATTATTTGATATCTTTTGAGAATTTTCATTTAGTACTCTCTCTCTCTCTCTCTCTCTCTCCCTTTCTCTCTCTACTTTAACATCCCGTGTGCCAGTTTTATTTCCTCTTATTGCTGCAAAATATTCGTTTCTATATTTATTGTAAATAAAAACTGCTCGGCAGCAATTAAATAACCATTTTGTAGAAAAATATGAAGAAAATGTTTTAGTGCAAAAAAGAAAGTTAAAAAAATATTTACCCTCTGTAGAAAAATAAATGAGAGAGAGCATTTTAATTAAAATAAATGAAACTTTACACTTTCTCAAAGTACCATCTATTTAAAATTTAAAAAAAGATATTTTAAATTGAGGTTAAAAATATTCTATTTAATAATGCTGAAAAATGTTAAAATTGAATAAAGAAAAGAGGAAATTCTAACACCTGAAAGGAATTATATTTAATATCACAATATGCTGCATTTTTCACTTTAAAAAAAAAAATGTTTTTAAAAAAATTAGAAAATTTTTTCTTTAAAAAGTTGAATAAAAAAAAATGTAGAAATTGAAAAAGAGAATGTATCTTCTAAAAGCTTAAAAGGTTTTTTTTTAAAAATGTTTTTGAAAAGGAGTAAAGATAAATTTGAAAAGATGAAAAATAAAAATTACTTTCGAGGAAAATTGTTTTGAATGGGACACAAAATTATTTTTTTTTTGAGAAAAGATTTTTTTGCTGGCAATGAAAGTAAAAAAACAAAAAAATTTGTCAACTTGCAGATGAGAGATGATGCATTTCAGGAGTGTTTGACACGATGGAATTCTCGCGTCGATTGGTCCCAAGAAACGGGGTACGAGTGTTTATCTGTCTGTCCGTCTGTTCGTGTTCGTCTGTCAGTTAAGCGTTGTTAAACTAACACGAGCTGAACTGGCTGAACTTTGTTGGCTAACACGAGCTTGCAAGCGACACCTCTTTACCATATTATCCTCCCTTTGCCCTCCCACACACCTCCTTCATCCTCTCTCACATTCTAATTACTCCCATCTCTCCCTCTCTCACTCTCCTTCTCTCTGGACCTTTTCCCCTCAACCCTCCAACTATACTTTTTTCTTTCGCTACATCTCACAAAGTGGCTTTTGCTCCATGAGATAAACGTGACATGACCTCTAACTTATTCTTCCCATTAGGAAGACAGCTAATTAATATGATGATGAGATTTTCGACATTTGACACATTTTTGTGCGTAGGGAGAATTTTTATTATTGTCTATATTCACAATAAATTAAGGCCACCTGAAAGTTGAACACTTCAATATTTACTCTTCTGCAATGAAGAATTTAGTCAATCTTTTGTAAATTATTTTTTCATCCTTTCTTCTTTTTGTAAATTAAATTTCTGTCCTTTCTTCATTGGAAAATTATTTTTCTGTCTAATTATCGCTTGGGGAACTCCCCATCATAAGTTTCCCTAAAGCCCAGTCCATAAGTCAAGTATTTGCAAATTATTTTTTTCCTCCTTTCTTCTCTTGTAAATTATATTTCTGTCCTTTCTTCTTTTGCAAATTACTTTTCTGTCCTTTCTTCATTTTTTTCAAATTGTTTAAATATATTTCAAGAAAGGAATTGTGAAATTTACTAATTACCGCTTGGGGGACTCCCCAAAATTTTCCCTAAAGCCCAGTCCATAAGGAGATAAAAGTCGTCGTCTCGCCCTCTGGAGGGACGCCATAGGAACTAATGTTATGTCTTCCTTACGCGCTTTTATCAATTAATATAAATCTCTACTATTGTAAATAATAAAACCACTAATTTTTACTTTTTCGGCAATAATCAAATTAAGACATTCTGTGAAAATTTACATATTCACAAAAAACAAAAATCGTTCATAAAAGTTATAACTATGAATATTTTTTTCTTCCCTTGTACTAATGATAATTGTTGGATTTTAGGTGATCATCCGGAGACAGATGAGGAGAGTGAATTAAATGCGAGAAATCAAATGAACAATCATCATAATAGTCATCATCATCCAAGGCGTCGATTTTCAGCCGAACGATTTACAACGGAAGACAGTAAATTTGTTCCAAGTGATGATGAATTCGCCGAAGATGAACTGTCAGTTGGTGAGCCTTCAGAAGCGAAAATGTTGACATTAAATGGACCAGCGTGGGGAACGTGTCCAGTTGGTGGCAGGTTTCCAAGGGAACGAAGGGGTAAAAGTCCAAGGAGCCTGGATAGACGTAAAAAGGATAAAAATCACGATCTAGGCGAATTCCATGAGGGAATGCTGCATCTACTTCCATACTTCCCAAGTGTTGCAGGTACAATTTTCAATTCCAATTGAGAATTATTTTTTTCATCGCCCTCTGGTGGGACGCCACCTGAACTTGATGAATTTAGTAGTAGAAACGGAAAAATGGCAAACTCAAGCTATGGTCAAAGACTCAGCCAAAGTAAACAAGCTCTGTACGATATTTTGACCATTTCCAAAATCTAGCAAACCATAGTCAAAATATGCCCATTGTTTCGCTATATTTAAGCAGTAATAGGTATTAATTTGTAGTATGGGAAACGGTAATTTGTAAAGACAAATTTAATTTCTCCCCTTTGTAATTTAATTACATAAATGTCTGCGCTTTTAAGGAGTAGAAAAGAGTTTCTCTGAAAGATCAAGTAGCGAATGTTGAAATCAATAATTGGCTACCGTGAGTACCAATATTCTTTTCTATTCTATTTCCTTTGGAAAATCATGGACCGTACTTTTTCTGATCTTTCCTCTCGAAAGATGCTTCTAAGAGAACATGTATGGTTGAGTGACCTCGTTAGAGGGATAGTTTTGTCTGTATGGACCCTCGAGCTTTGAAATTCAATTACTTCCGGAGTCTCGCAGGTCAAGAATATTTCTTGAAACTATCGATTTTATACTTTTTGTCATTTAGTGTGCCAATGAATTTCCAATATTTATTTTTGCAGACAATTATTTCTTTGGAGAGAATATTACCAAAATTCATTTCATTATGCCTTTTACTTTACGAGGGGAAAATTTAAAGTTATAATTGTAGGGGGATAAAAAAAATAAACTTTTTGTGGTTGTTAAAAATTCTGATTGGGGTCCTATTGGGAATGATCTCTTTAGAGTATAACAAACCATCAGTTCTTGAATAATTCTAGTATCTTCCGTATTAGAACAGCTTTTGCTGCTAATATCCATTGGAATAAGTAAAATCCCCCAAAGACCAAACCAATTTATCAAAAAATTCTCCTATTTAGCAGCACACCTCGAATTTTAAAAAAACGTTTACCTTTCCAGGTGTCGCGGGAGTGCGAACGAGCAACAACAGTCAACGTCAACAGTCCGTCCCGTCGGTGGCTCACAGGTTGCCTTACTTTGTGCCACCAATGCCTGCAGCTCAAACACTGAGAGTTAAGGAGAATCCTTACGAGACTGTTCCAGTATTGGGTCCATTGCAGCATTATTCAAGTCAGGGAAGAAGCAATAAAGACAAATCGTGGAAGGTCAATGATAAATACAAATATTCCCAATATGGCACCGATTATTTTGGTCTTCAAACGCAGGAGAATGCACCTGTCTATACACAAGTGTCCGAGTACACTGACACATATTCACAGCCCACCGATAGGCTCTACAACGAAGACAAGTACTCACAACCCGTCTATTATACACCGAGGGATCCCGATCAGGTCTCATCAGGAAGACTTTATCAGGGTCAACCGGACTCGAGTTTTGGTAGTGACAGTGGTTATAGTCATCATACGTCAGGAACGACTGGCACCACTGGAACACGTGGCAGTACCTCAAAAACAAATCATCGTAAAGATAAACACAGAAACTCCCATCATTCTCATCATTCCGCGGATTATATCGTCTCTTAAGATTCATTTTGTGTGAAATGGATGACTGTACAGCTTTTCTTTTGGGTACGGAATTTATATTCTAAATTTTAACGGGGTAGGGGGGGGTTAAACACTGCCGTGTCGAGTTCTTTAATTTTCAGAAATTTTTTCCCATCAAGAACATCATTCCTTTCAGTTTTTCACCTTTTCTTCTTCTCCTTTTCAAAGGAAGGGACAAACAAAATGGCGAATGTTTGGCCTTCGGCCTCGTGAACTTTCGTAACTGTTCGTCCAGTCTCGTGAAAATTCGCCATTCTTATAAACTTTCATACAAAATTTCAGCTCAAATGATAAATAATACGAACCTACTATTTTTTTTTTACAAAAAAACAACTTTTAAGGTACTTCCACAATAGCATTTTTTTATCAATACATACAGGGTTGGGTCGTGAGATAAAGCGTCACTACGCGGTATTTCACTAACCCAACACTGCAATTCAAGTATTTTGATGCACCGCGAGATGGCATTGTTTTCAGAAGTAAAATCTATCCATATTATTTAGTTCTTACCCCTTTTTCTTTTATTTTTATTTAAAATCAATGAATTCTCCAATCAAAAAGCGAAAAAAAATAAACAGTATTTAGTCAATTATAAACCATATATAAAAGTTAAAAATAGTTTTGAATCGAATAATTCTTACAAGACTAGAGTTTTTTGATGAAAAACTTTTTTCCGCTTTTCTTTGTGTGGCAGAAAATAATTATCGGAAATGTATTATAACAGTTAAGCCCTGAATGAATTCTTTTTATTCTATTTACCTTTCATTCTTTCTTTCTCTTTTAATGTATGTCATTTTTTTAGAATATTATACCCATTTCCGTTTTATAATAAAAAAAAACATATCATAAAACGTGAAATTTTAATTTTTTATATAAAAAACTTTCTTTCTTGTTTATTAACTTTTTTTTCTGAATTTAGAAAGCTTTTAAAAGATTTATTTTCAGGGAGAATAGTAAAGAAATATTCGAACCAAAGCTCGCTAATTTCTAATCCTTTATTGAAAGTTTGTTATTTAAATTTTCTTTGACAAGTTTTCGTAGTTTATAAAATTTAATCACAAAAGTTTGAAAGAAAATTCTAAATGGAAAAAATTTCTAGTCAAATATTCTTAATGAAAAGAAAAAGAACTCGATACATTTTTCTTGGAGTCACTTTTTGAAAAAAAAAGTGATTCATTGTGGGCAATAATAATTCTAAGTGCGTCACTCGTAAAAATACGACGTTTCTGAGAATAAAAAAATTTTATCGTGATCGGAAAAAAAGTGATCTTTAATTTAAATATTTTCTTTTTTAATACTATTGTAAGAAAGAAATTTTCCGCGAAAAATTAAAAATCCAATGAGACTCAGGCTCGAACCAAAGGTTTGCTTAAATACTTTGTACGTAACTAATTTATCCGTAGGCTATTAAAAGAAGAAACACAAAAAAAAATCGAGAAAAGAAAAAAAAAAACGAAAAATTCTCTGGAATGCACACTTGCCTCTCGTTTCTAATTTTTTTCCAACGCTTTGTCTTCCGATGTTTTTTCTACCCTCAAAGGATTTTTCCTCCCATTTCGTGTACGAATTTTCTTTGTACCAATTTTCTCCTGACGACAAAGCCGGAAAAGCTGGATTTTCCTTCCCTTCCTTTTTAATTTAAAATTTTACGTTTCGTCAAGTGTTAAAAATATCACAAAGCCATTTTAATTCAATTTTACAATTTGCCCCTATCCTAAAACTCCTTTCTCCGAAAATTGTTACAAGTCTTTTTTTTTTGAAGGATTCAATTTTCCATTGTCCGTTTATTTCGTTCTTTAACATTAAAAAATTAATTATATTTTCATAATATTAATTTTTTATTGTAATGTTAATAAATTTTTTAATATTTTATTGAATATTTTCAAAAATGGAAAAATAATCAAGTGTGAATTCTTAGAGGTCTGTATAGAAACAAAAGGAGGGAAAATCCATTAATCGAAAAAAAATATGAAAGTGCGCGAAGATGTGAGACGAGAAATATTTTGATACTTTTTGTATTGATTTTAACAATGCGAGGGTGAAAATTATTTTCATTGATATAAATTGTGGTATTCTTGGTAAAAAAAAAAATTTTCGAAATGGATTTTCCTTTTTTTGGGATGTATAATTTTTTTTCGAATTCTTTGGTCAGAGAAATACAGACCAAGATTATTGGAACGAGCAAAAGAAGAAATAATAATAATGCTAATTTATATAAAAATACAAAGAAAAAAAAATTCTTTATATGAAAAAAGAAATTTAGTATTAAGTGATAAAAAAAAAACATTATAAATACGCGGCCATGTACATATGAAAAATAATTTTTTTCTCCCGTGTAGCATAGCTGTACCATATCGTTAAAAAAAAAGTATCGAAACTCGAGCGGAGCTTTGAGATTTAATATATAAAAAAAAATTGAAACACACGATTTTTTTAATTTAAAAACTAATTTTTAATGATGCGCTGTGTATCGTTAGCGATATCGACGATAATAATTATTCTAATATATAAAGACAAATATTCTCTTCATGGACGAGATTTGCACACTGATTTTTTCGAATTATTTTACGAAAATCTAATTTTTGTAAGAAAAATTCGTTTATTTATTTTAGTTCTTTCTATGTAAAAAATTTTTTAAAAATATATAATTTTTTTGTAAATTTAATTTATGAAGAAATTTTTTTTTTCGCATGGATGCTGAATGTTAAAAACCAAAGTGTTAATTTTAAGTTAATTGAATTGTACAATGTTTTAATTTTCCGTTTCTTCAATTTTTTAGTAAAAAGAAAAAAAGAAGCGAAAAATTTTTAAGGCGAAAGCCTTGAACAGACAATCAAATTTTAAAATAATGTGTCAATTTTCACCTTTTAAAGTTTCTTTTTTATCTATTAAGGGAAAATTTTGTTTTTCCCTTTTTTCGATTCGAAATTTATCATTTTTAATTTAATAGATAAACATTTTATTTAAGAGAATAAAAGTCTTGTAAATTATCTCAATTTTGAGGGAAGTATCTATTTTAGAAAATTTTAGAAGAAATTGTGCAATTTGTAGATTTTAAATTGTGTGTTTGAAATTTTGTTTCAAAACGCAAAGGAAATTTTTTTGGAAAAATTTTAAAAAATTGCCAGTCTCGTCCTTGGATTCTAAAAAAACTCTCTAGACGCGAAGAAATAGAGCGAATACCTCAGAAAGCCACGCTGTTGTAAATATAATTTTATAAAAATGCGCTTAGGGTATCGAAAGACTTTGAAAAGCAATTTTGACTCATAAACGATAAATATGAAAACCAAAAACTTTATACACATATTTTTTTTTGTTTCGTTGAAAAACAAAATTTTCGTCTAAGAAAAATTATTTTTCCGAACTTTACTTCTATTTTTCTTTTTTTAATAATTTTTTTTTTCACCACTGATTTTACAAATTTTTTATTTTACAAATTTACAAAGTAAAATATTTTTCTTTTTTTCAAATTGAATTTGGTGGGAAATATTTTAATTAAATTAATTTACGAAAGACAATTTTCAAAAGCTCAAGAAATAAAAAATGTAAATATTTACATTTACTAGACAAAAAATAATAATCAAAATATAAATATTTTTCTCCTATTTAGTAATGGGAAACAAAAATGTATACTTTTCAATAATAATTCCTTCCCATTACAAATAGGAAAAAAAATTTATCACAATTTTTATCCTCACGAGTCAAAAGTGTTTTTTTTTTCTAAACGAAAAATATTTCAGGAGAATGTGTACTTATCAGAAAAAAAACAAAAAAACAATGTTAGAAAATATGTAACGAAGACAAAAAAAATGCAATTGTACGATCACTGTATGATCATAAATTTATGCATACAATCAAAGAATGCACGAGAAAAAAAAACGACTGCAAAAAACAAATGAGTTTACGCGAGATTTTAAAAATGATGAGCGAGCAAACGAAAATAAAAAAAAAAATGAAAAATTGAGTGAGAGACACAAAAAAATGAGTGCGTGCAACACAACGCTTTTATACCATTTTTGCGTCCATGTTAGTTAAAAAAAAAAAAAAAAAACCATGTGAGATCGTTTTTTTACCTATATGTATAACTTATGTGAAAAATAGGCGATCATCGGTTAAATTGTTTTACGTTTAATTTTTAATCTAAAATAATTTCTTCGGCTTTGAAATTCCCACGGAATTCTTCCGATTGTAAATTATTATTGTTATATTAGTCATTTAAAAAATCGACTTTTCATTCTCTATCGCTTCCTTCTTTTTATTTTTGCGTCCCTGACGCTCAAAGTCAGAAAAAAGTAACGTTCGCGTAAGAACTAGTCATTTTCTTCTAAAGAAAAAAAAAATTAGCAGTTTATTTATTTTATCCGCTTTTAAAGCAAAAATAAAAAATAGCTCACAATTGGTTTATTAAAATTTTTGAATATTAAAATAATTTTAATAAATTAAATTTGATTATACGTGAAATATTGTTAATACTTCGTTTTTAATAATAAAATAAAATTATCACCATACATTGATTTTTATTTGTCTATTTAATTAATTATCATAATTGTGACAGAATTAAAAAATAATTTTAAAAAAAAACGCTTTTTTAATTTAAAAAAATTGCAAAGAAAACCTCGTCAATTAAAATCGAATAATAGGATTTAATACCTACATTATAATAATAAAATAAATCAATACTAACTTCTTTGTTTACAAAACTGATTTTTTAAGATTATTAGACATGAATTCGAAAAAATTTTCAATTGTAAATTTAATGAAGATTTTTTAATATTTTATTATAAGAAACAAAAATTTGAAATATTTATTTGATTAGGAAAAATGCAAATTTTTTTTAAAAAACGATTTGAAAAACAGTATTTTGTAAAGAGATTTTTATTATTAATTTTATTGTACGAAATAAAAATTTTAGGAAAAGAACCAAATAACAAATACGTTTTTTAAAACATCTTTAAAAATTGTATTTATCAGAGTAACTTTTATTATTAATTTTATTTCGAGAAATTTTTTTGAAATTATTTACTTCAAAATTAAAATAATTTTGAAAATTTGAATTATTATTTTATTAGGAAAAACACCATATTTAAAAACTTTTTTTTATTGTACTCTTTTTAAAAGAATTTATTTCTTTCAAAATTAAAATAATTTTGAAAATTTGAATTATTATTTTATTAGGAAAAACACCATATTTAAAAACTTTTTTTTATTGTAATCTTTTTGAAAGAATCTATTTCTTTCAAAGTATTTACTTCAAAATTAAAATAATTTTAAAAATTTGAATTATTATTTTGTTAGGAAAAACACCATATTTAAAAACTTTTTTTTTATTGTAATACTTTTACTCTCTTTTTTATTTCATAATTTATTTTTCTTTTATACTCAACTATAAAGAATTTCTACACGAACGTTACTTATCCTTGTATACGTATGAGAGTATTTATTGTCTCTTTTGAAAGTTATTTTTTATTGTTGTTGCGTCAAGAGGCGTGAAACCGCTAATTTAGCGCCGACTTTTTAGCGTTAGCGAACGAAAAAAAAATAAAACGACACAATAGTATAGGCACTAGAGTACCTCGATAAGAAAAAAAGAAAGCAGTAGCACTCTTGAAAGTTAGCTTGCAACGGGTGCTCTTCTTTGCCATTGCTCCTCCTATCTCAAAAGAAATTTTACCCTCACCTCCCTTTTTGCTTTAAATTAATTACGTCAAGGGAGGTAGGACAGCAATTTTCTTCCGGTGACACGGAATCTTTGAAGGAACAAGAAAAATAAAAGTATACACAACCCTT